AATCATGACAGCAGGCAAGATAGAGGAGAGCAGGAGGCGGGGTTACCAATCTACTTGCTCTGGAGAGCAGAGTTCGCTGCTTTTAGATGTTGTTTCCAAAGTCTCCAGTAAGAGAAAAAAGTCACTAGATTTGGCGCTAGGCGCTTTTTTAAAATAAAAGTACTAGAGGGGTCTGAAAAGTCACTAAATACAGCGACAAAAGTGCTAAGTTGGAAACACTTCTCTTTGCACCGTTTGTTTTCAAATGATTTGCTGCTGCTTGTTTGGACGTTTCTGCACATGCGCAGAAAATGGACTAATCCAATGTGGTGGACGCTGATAAAGGGGCTTCCCGAGACACACCTAATATTATAAGCATTCTGATGGAATTTTAACTAAAGGATTTTTTTTTATCAAAACATAATTAATGTGCACAAATGAGGAATAGTTGTATTACCATACATGTAAAAGGAGTTTTTTGGGGCTCCCAGGAACATGGGGCTCTAGGTCACTGCCTAGTTTTGCCTAATAGTACATCAGCTCCTGTGTATGCTGATGAGATACGAATTTATATTTCTGGACTACCACTTGATGTAAATTAGAAGATGGTTCAGTAAATCCTGCAGTTCAACACAGAAGTCACTGCTTTTTGTTCCACAATGCAAAAAATGTAGACTCAGAAAGCTGAAAACCATAAAGGAGGTGAAAGATAACAAGACTAATACTAAATAAGTCTAGTAACACTGTGATAATACCTCCAGCTAATGCATACATTTATTTTAGGGAGTTAGGATATTGTAATACTTTCTGCAGTAAATAAAAAACACAGGTGGTTGCAGCTCATCTAACATTTCCTGATCAAAACCAGGAAAATGGATAATTTTAAACCAATGATTACATTTTTGCATTGATATAATTAGCAACCCTTTTATTTATCATCAAAATGAGCAGATATAAAGAGGCAGAGGCAGTGTGCAGCGTTCTGAAGTCCAGCCCAAATCCTAATAATGCTGAATCCTTTCAATCATAAAAACAACTTTAGATAATAGTATAAAACAGATAAATTCAGGTTTTCTACAAAGTGAAAATATAATTTATATAAATTCCACCTTCTCTGTGGTTTCATGTTTTTTTATGTTGCATTTTGATTTCATCTTTCCTTTTATTAGAAGCTCAATATTTTCTTCTTTGATGCACGTCTGGTTTTAATTTGATTTTCTTATCTCTCTTGCTTATTTCCACATGAGACACTTTAAATTGCCTTGTGTCTTTCATATCATGCAGGCGAGCTGCTCAAAGAGAAGTTTTGTCCTCTTTTAAGTCAATGATTTACACCCTTTGAATGTATTATTTTGGCTTCACTCAAGAGATCTCTTTTCCTTTTTTAACTAAGGTTAGCTAAAAGGGAGTTTTTCCTCTCCACTGTCGCTACAAGCATGCTTAGTGTGAGGGATTGC